ACTTTATTAGGCTTTATATAAGGATTAACACAAACAAACAAAAAACGACATTTTATCACATTATTTAAAAAAAAACATACAAAATCGTCTTTTTTTTCAATAATATTCATCGGGGGAGAAGATGAGATCAGACCCCTTGAGATAAGCCGTCCCTAACCGTAGTCCTGACACTACGATGAATTTTATTACATTAGACAAAATGCTGGTCGATTGTGCCGTCCCTTCCGAGCCCTCGCAAGGAGGACTCTGCGTGACAGCAGATTTCACCTTTGGGGCGACACAGCTCCTCCCTTGGGAGGGGATGTAAGGAGGACTCTGCATGACAGCAGATGTCACCTTAGGGGCAACACAGCTTTTCCCTTGCGAGGGGATGTAAGGAGGACTTTGCATGACAGCAGATGTCACCTTAGGGGCGACACAGCTCTTCCCTTGGGAGGAGATGTAAGGAGGACTCTGCATGACATCAGATGTCACCTTAGGGGCGACACAGCTTTTCCCTTGCGAGGGGATGTAAGGAGGACTCTGCATGACAGCAGATGTCACCTTAGGGGCGACACAGCTTTTCCCTTGCGAGGGGATGTAAGGAGGACTCTGCATGACAGCAGATGTCACCTTAGAGGCGACACAGCTTTTCCCTTGCTAGGGGATGTAAGGAGGACTCTGTATGACAGTCTTCCTTTCAGTGACAGTTGGGAAAGTAAGCTGCTGGAGGGAAGACTCTAAACGTCTAATAACTTCACAGAGATCAGGCAGATCTACTGGGTTCTGCTGTAGCATATCTAAGAATAATTGTCTGGTGCCGGGCGGCCACGCCTTTAGGTGTCGGTCACTCAATAATGTCTCAGTAACAAAATTAAGGGTGAACCCCAAAGAGAAAACATCAGCCTTGGGGTGACATGGGAGACCAGCAAGCAGCTCTGGGGCATAAAAGGGAAAATCAGTTGGTGATCCAGAGATATTTGTCAACTCTCCCACGGCTGTTGAAAGCCCAAAATCGATGATGTGGGCCGTGAAGATACCATCGGCTGTGTTCTCTTCTATTAACACATTATCTTCCTTAAAATCGTTATGGACAACGCCCTGACCGTGAATTTCGTCAAGGCCTCGCGCCACGGCGATGTAGATTTGAATAATGTTGGCCGCGGTAAGCAACTTAGGGTGATTGAGTATATCAATGAACGTCCTTCCCTTGCAAAACGACATAACAAGTATGGGCTCATCCGTGGCCCACGTTATGATGAGGGGAGCACCGCCGGCACCGTTTACTTTTTGGGTTATCTCCCTTTCTATGTTGAAATACTTCAGATATTCCGTTTTCAAGCCTTTTTTTATGCACACGAGTTCCCCATTGAATTCGGCCAGGAGGCTGAACGCAAATGCCCCGCTACCCAATTTTTTCTGGATTTTTACAACGCTTAAGAGTTATTTGCTTGTATAACTTTCCATCTTGTTTTAACCAAACGTAAAATTTTATGAAGTACAATTTCAATAACTTTATCGTATAATATACATTATATATTTATATAGTAAGAGGTTATGTGAACATTTAGTACTAGTGTAATGAACATGTAATACAAGTGTAGTGAACATATAGTACTTGTGTAATGAACATGTAATACTAGTGTAGTGAACATATAGTACTTGTGTAATGAACATGTAATACTAGTGTAGTGAACATATAGTACTTGTGTAATGAACATGTAATACTAGTGTATTGAACATATACTACTTGTATAATGAGCATATAGTGCTAGTGTTGTAGTGAACATATAGTACTTGTGCAATGAACATGTAGTACTAGTGTTATAGTGAACATATAGTACTTGTGTAATGAACATGTAATACTAGTGTAGTGAACAAATAGTACTTGTGCAATGAACATGTAGTACTAGTGTTGTAGTGAACATAGAGTACTTGTGTAATGAACATGTAGTACTAGTGTTATAGTGAACATATAGTACCTGTGTAATGAACATGTAATACTAGTGTAGTGAACATATAGTACTAGTCTAATGAACATATAGTGCTAGTTTTATAGTGAAGATATAGTACTTGTGTAATGAACATGTAGACCAGTGTTATAGTGAAGATATAGTACTTGTGTAATGAACATGTAATACTGGTGTAGTGAACATATAATACTAGTGTAATGAATATACAGTCCTAGTGTTGTAGTGAACATATAGTACTAATGTAATGCACATGTAAAACTAGTGTAGTGAACATATAGTACTAGTGTAATGAACATGTAGTACTAGTGTTGTAGTGAACATGTAGTATTAGTGTTGTAGTGAACATGTAGTACTAGTGTAATGAGCATGTAATACTAGTGTTGTAGTGAACATGTATTGCTAGTGTTGTAGTGAACATGTAGTACTAGTGTAATGAACATGTAGTACTAGTATTGTAATGAACATATCGTGCTAGTGTTCTATTGAACATGTAGTACTAGTGTAATGAGCATGTAATACAAGTGTAGTTGTGAACATGTAGGACTAGTGGTGAAGTGAACATGTAGTACTAGTGTTGTAGTGAACATGTAGTACTAGTGTAATGAACATGTAATACTCGTGTAGTGAACACGTAGTACTAGTGTTATAGTGAGCATGTAGTACTAGTTCTGTAGTGTACATGTAATACCAGTGTTGTAGTCAACATATAGTACTAATGTTGTAGTGAACATGTAGTATTATTGTTTTAGTGAACATATAGAACTAGTGTTGTAGTGAACATGTAGTACTAGTGTTGTAGTGAACATATAGTACTAGTGTTGTAGTGAACATGTATTACTAGTGTTGTAGTGAACATGTAGTACTAGTGTTGTAGTGAACATGTATTACTAGTGTTGTAGTGAACATGCAGTACTAGTGTTGTAGTGAACATGTAGTACTAGTGTTGTAGTGAACATGTAGTACTAGTGTTGTAGTGAACATGTATTACTAGTGTTGTAGTGAACATATAGTACTAGTGTTGTAGTGAACATGCAGTACTAGTGTTGTAGTGAACATGTAGTACTAGTGTTGTAGTGAACATGTAGTATTAGTGTTGTAGTGAACATGTAGTACTAGTGTTGTAGTGAACATATAGTACTAGTGTTGTAGTGAACATGTAGTACTAGTGTTGTAGTGAACATGTAGTACTAGTGATGTAATGAACATGTAATACCTGTGTTGTAGTGAAGATGTAGTACTCGTGTTGTAGTGAACATGTAATACCAATGTTGTAATGAACGTGTAGTACTAGTGTTTTAGTGAGCATGTAGTACAAGTGTTGTATTGAACATGTAATACTAGTGTTGTAGTGAACATGTAGTACTAGTGTTGTAGTGAACATGTAGTACTAGTGTAATGAGCATGTAATACTAGTGTTGTAGTGAACATGTATTGCTAGTGTTGTAGTGAACATGTAGTACTAGTGTAATGAACATGTAGTACTAGTATTGTAGTGAACATATCATGCTAGTGTTCTATTGAACATGTAGTACTAGCGTAATGAGCCTGTAATACAAGTGTAGTTGTGAACATGTGGTACTAGTGGTGTAGTGAACATGTAGTACTAGTGTTGTAGTGAACATGTAGTACTAGTGTAATGAACATGTAATACTCGTGTAGTGAACATGTAGTACTAGTGTTTTAGTGAGCATGTAGTACTAGTGTTGTATTGAACATGTAAATACTAGAGTTGTATTGAACATGTAGTCCTAGTGTTGTAGTGAACATGTAGTACTAGTTCTGTAGTGTGCATGTAATACCAGTATTGTAGTCAACATGTAGTACTAATGTTGTAGTGAACATGTAGTATTATTGTTTTAGTGAACATATAGAACTAGTGTTGTAGTGAACATGTAGTACTAGTGTTGTAGTGAGCATGTAGTACTAGTGTTGTAGTGAACATGTAGTACTAGTGTTGTAGTGAACATGTAGTACTAGTGATGTAATAAACATGTAATACCTGTGTTGTAGTGAAGATGTAGTACTCGTGTTGTAGTGAACATGTAATACCAATGTTGTAATGAACATGTAGTACTAGTGTTTTAGTGAGCATGTAGTACAAGTGTTGTAGTGAACATGTAATACTAGTGTTGTAGTGAACATGTAATACCAGTGTTGTAGTGAACATGTAGAACTAGTGTTGTAGTGAACATGTAATACCAGTGCTGTAGTGAACACGTAGTACTAGTGTTGTAGTGAGCATGTAGTACTAGTGTTGTAGTGAATACGTAGTACCAGTGTTGTAGTGAACATGTAGGACTAGTGTTGTAGTGAATACGTAGTGCCAGTGTTGTAGTTAACAGGTAGTACTAGTGTTGTATTGAGCATGTAGTACTAGTGTTCTACTGAACATGTAGTACTAGTGTTGTAGTGAGCATGCAGTAGTAGTGTTCTAGTGAACATGTGGTACTAGTGTTGTAGTGAACATGTAGTGCTAGTGTTGTAGTGAACATGTAGTACTAGTGTTGTAGTGAACATGTAATACCAGTGTTTTAGTGAACATGTAGTGCTAATGTTGTGGTGAACATATAATACCAGTGTTGTAGTGAACATGTAGTACTAGTGTTGTAGTGAACATGTAGTACTAGTGTTGTAGTAAGCATGTAGGACCGGTGTTGCAGTGAACATGAAGTACTAGTGTTGTAGTGAACATGTAGTACTAGTGTTGTGGTGAACATATAATACCAGTGTTGTAGTGAACATTTAGTACTAGTGTTGTAGTGAACATGTAATACTAGTGTTGTAGTAAGCACGTAGGACCGGTGTTGCAGTGAACATGAAGTACTAGTGTTGTAGTGAACATGTAGTACTAGTGCTGTATTGAACATGTAGTACTAGTGTTGTAGTGAACATGTAGTACTAGTGTTGTAGTGAACATGTATTACTAGTGTTGTAGTGAACATGGAATACCAGTGTTGTAGTTAACATGTAGTACTAGTGTTGTAGTGAACATGGTCATAAAAGTTAACATTTCTTGTATAACATATCGTTAAGGTTCAGTTAAAGATAATGTTGTGTTCCCTGCAGGACCCAGAGAACATGTGGGCCTACGAGGTAGACGCCAGGTCGACAGGGGACAAACAGTCTGCCCGGGAGGAGCGTCGAGGAGACGTAGTGGTGGGCCAGTACAGCGCCATGGACCCTGATGGTTCTCTCTGCGTCGTCGACTACTCTGTAGCTCCCGACACTGACTTCCAGGCCACTGTTACCAAGCAATCCACCCATGAAAACTTCCAGAGCCAAAGCCAATAGCACCAGCAAAGGCGCAACCAGTTCCAGAATCAACAGACCCGCCGCGACCAGTTCCAGAACCAACAGAACAGCCGCAACCAGTTTCAGAACCAACAGACCCGCCGCAACCAGTTGCTGAACCAACAGAGCCGCCCCGACCAGTTCCAGAAACAACAGAACCGCCCCGACCAGTTCCAGAACCAACAGAGCCACCAGGCCAGTTCCAGAACCAACTGTCTACCCGCGACCCATTCCAGAACCAACTGTCTACTCGCGACCAGTTCCAGAACCAACAAAGCCGCCCCGACCAGTTCCAGAGCCAACAGAGCCGCCCCGACCAGTTCCAGAACCAACTGTCTACTAGCGACCAGTTCCAGAACCAACAAAGCCGCCGCGACCAGTTCCAGAACCAACAAAGCCGCCCCGACCAGTTCCAGAGCCAACAGAACCGCCCCGACCAGTTCCAGAACCAACTGTCTACCCGCGACCAGTTCCAAAACCAACAAAGCCGCGGCGACCAGTTCCAGAACCAACAGAACCTCCCCCACCAGTTCCAAAACCAACTGTCTACCCGCAACCAGTTCCAGAATCAAGTGAACCGAGATCAATCTTCTCTGAATATTAGACAGTAGTCACAGAGAGACAACCAGTATCAACAGAAACGCAACCAGTATCAACAAGACCACAACCAGTATCAACACAACCGTAACCAGTACCAGCTGAATCATTACCAACAGAACCGCAACTAGTACCAGGAGAACCGCAACCAGTACCAGTCCAACTATCGCACGAGTACCAACCAATACAACCACAACAACCAGTCCAACAACCTCCACAACAACAGGTACATCTCACAAAGTTACGGCTCCACCAACAACAACCACAACTACAACCAAAACTCACACCTCAACTCCAACCTTTTCAACCTGGAATACAACCAACAACCCTCCCGGTTATCCACCAACAACCACAACCAGTACGGAAGGAGCCAAGTTAGTGTGGTTCCTGCTGGAAATCACAAGTATCGACTACAACAAATGAACCACTGGCAACACTAAATGGTTGTGAGAATGTCTTTACTCTGTATAAACTGTCAATATAATACTATGGTACTGTATTTTTATGTATTTCTCGCTAAACAAAGCAGAATGTATTAATGTTTTTTATCTGATTGACGCTATTGTATGTTTCTGTTGTGTTAATGAATGATGTTAAAGTGTTGGTGAGAGTAAACACTAATATGCAGAATAGGTCAAGTGTTGGTGAAAGTAAACACTAATATACAGAGTACGTCAAGTGTTGCTGAGAGTAAACACTAATATACAGTATACGTCAAGTGTTGGTGAAAATAAACACTAATATACAGTATACGTCAAATGTTGGTGACAGTAAACACTAATATACAGTATACGTCAAATGTTGGTGACAGTAAACACTAATATACAGTATACGTCAAGTGTTGGTGAGAGTAAACACTAATATACAGTATACGTCAAGTGTTGGTGAGAGTAAACACTAATATACAGTATAGGTCAAGGCATGGTGATATTGGGGACTAGATGGGGTGTATACTCGACTGTTTTTGTAATAGATATGATACCGGTACACATACAGGTTCACATACCGGTACACATACAGGTATACATACAGGTACACATACCGGTACACATATAGGTACACATACAGGTACACATACAGGTACACATACCGGTACACATACAGGTGCACATACATGTACACATATAGGTACACATACCGGTACACATAGAGAGACTTAGGTAACGTAGTACCAAGGTAGATTTATGTGTGTGTGTGTGTGTGTGTGTGTGTGTGTGTGTATGTGTGTGTGATATTAGCTGGTCTTTGCTATCACAACAGTTACGGCTGGAGATGACGGAATTGAAAACATATCTTATCCCGATTCATGATAGCATGTAGATGTGTGTGTGTGTGGGTGTGTGTGTATCTTTCAACTGTACCTGTATCTATCTCTTAACTGTATCTGTCTCTCAACTATACCTGTATCTGTCTCTTAACTCTATCTGTATCTGTCTCTTAACTGTACCTGCATCTGTCTCTTAACTGTACGTGTATCTGTCTCTTAACTGTACCTGTATCTGTCTCTTAACTCTACCTGTATCTGTCTCTCAATTCTACCTGTATCTGTCTCTAAACTGAACCTGTATCTGTCTCTTAACTCTACCTGTATCTGTCTCTCAACGGTACCTGTATCTGTCTATTAACTCTACCTGCATCAGTCTCTTAACTGTACCTGTATCTGTCTCTTAACTGTACCTGTATCTGTCTCTTAACTGTACCTGTATCTGTCTCTCTGCTTTGTACCTGTATCTGTCTATCTCTTAACTTATTTTTATATCTGTCTCTTAACTGCCTGCATCTGTCTTAACTTTGTACCTGTATCTGTGTGTCTCTTAACTGTACCTGTCTGTCTCTTAACTATTGCCTGTATCATCTCTCTTAACTGTACCTGTATCACTACCCTTATATGTTACTTGTACACCAATACCTATAAGTTGCTATATATGCTGATCTACCTATTCAGGTTTCGTTTGTCGTATTTGTATATCTGTCTGCTACGTGCAGGCACATATAAGGATTAGCACACAAACAAACAAAACGACATTTATCACATTATTTATAAAAAAAACATACAAAATCTTCTTTTTTTTCAATAATGTTCATCGGGGGAGAAGATGAGATCAGACCCCTTGAGATAAGCCGTCCCTAACCGTAGTCCTGACACTACGATGAATTTTATTACATTAGACAAAATGCTGGTCGATTGTGCCGTCCCTTCCGATCCCTCGCAAGGAGGACTCTGCGTGACAGCAGATTTCACCTTTGGGGCGACACAGCTCCTCCCTTGCGAGGGGATGTAAGGAGGACTCTGCATGACAGCAGATGTCACCTTAGGGGCGACACAGCTCTTCCCTTGGGAGGGGATGTAAGGAGGACTCTGCATGACAGCAGATGTCACCTTAGGGGCGACACAGCTTTTCCCTTGCGAGGAGATGTAAGGAGGACTCTGCATGACAGAAAATGTCACCTTAGGGGCGACACAGCTCTTCCCTTGCGAGGGGATGTAAGGAGGACTCTGCATGACAGCAGATGTCACCTTAGGGGCGACACAGCTCTTCCCTTGGGAGGGGATGTAAGGAGGACTCTGCATGACAGCAGATGTCACCTTAGGGGCGACACAGCTTTTCCCTTGCGAGGGGATGTAAGGAGGACTCTGCATGACAGTCTTCCTTTCAGTGACAGTTGGGAAAGAAAGCTGCTGGAGGGAAGACTCTAAACGTCTAATAACTTCACAGAGATCAGGCCGATCTACTGGGTTCTGCTGTAGCATATCTAAGAATAATTGTCTGGTGCCGGGCGGCCACGCATTTAGGTGTCGGTCACTCAATAATGTCTCAGTAACAAAATTAAGGGTGAACCCCAAAGAGAAAACATCAGCCTTGGGGTGACATGGGTGACCAGCAAGGATCTCTGGGGCATAAAAGGGAAAATCACTTGGTGATCCAGAGATATTTGTCAACTCTCCCACGGCTGTAGAAAGCCCAAAATCGATGATGTGGGCCGTGAAGCTACCATCGGCTGTGTTCTCTTCTATTAACACATTATCTTCCTTAAAATCGTTATGGACAACGCCCTGACCGTGAATTTCGTCAAGGCTTCGCGCCACGGCGATGTAGATTTGAATAATGTTGGCCGCGGTAAGCAACTTAGGGTGATTGAGTATATCAATGAACGTCCTTCCCTTGCAAAACGACATAACAAGTATGGGCTCATCCGTGGCCCACGTTATGATGAGGGGAGCACCGCCGGCACCGTTTACTTTTTGGGTTATCTCCCTTTCTATGTTGAAATACTTCAGATATTCCGTTTTCAAGCCTTTTTTTATGCACACGAGTTCCCCATTGAATTCGGCCAGGAGGCTGAACGCAAATGCCCCGCTACCCAATTTTTTCTGGATTTTTACAACGCTTAAGAGTTATTTGCTTGTATAACTTTCCATCTTGTTTTAACCAAACGTAAAATTTTATGAAGTACAATTTCAATAACTTTATCGTATAATATACATTATATATTTATATAGTAAGAGGTTATGTGAACATTTAGTACTAGTGTAATGAACATGTAATACAAGTGTAGTGAACATATAGTACTTGTGTAATGAACATGTAATACTAGTGTAGTGAACATATAGTACTTGTGTAATGAACATGTAATACTAGTGTAGTGAACATATAGTACTTGTGTAATGAACATGTAATACTAGTGTATTGAACATATACTACTTGTATAATGAGCATATAGTGCAAGTGTTGTAGTGAACATATAGTACTTGTGCAATGAACATGTAGTACTAGTGTTATAGTGAACATATAGTACTTGTGTAATGAACATGTAATACTAGTGTAGTGAACAAATAGTACTTGTGCAATGAACATGTAGTACTAGTGTTGTAGTGAACATAGAGTACTTGTGTAATGAACATGTAGTACTAGTGTTATAGTGAACATATAGTACCTGTGTAATGAACATGTAATACTAGTGTAGTGAACATATAGTACTAGTCTAATAAACATATAGTGCTAGTTTTATAGTGAAGATATAGTACTTGTGTAATGAACATGTAGACCAGTGTTATAGTGAAGATATAGTACTTGTGTAATGAACATGTAATACTGGTGTAGTGAACATATAATACTAGTGTAATGAATATACAGTCCTAGTGTTGTAGTGAACATATAGTACTAATGTAATGCACATGTAAAACTAGTGTAGTGAACATATAGTACTAGTGTAATGAACATGTAGTACTAGTGTTGTAGTGAACATGTAGTACTAGTGTTGTAGTGAACATGTAGTACTAGTGTAATGAGCATGTAATACTAGTGTTGTAGTGAACATATATTGCTAGTGTTGTAGTGAACATGTAGTACTAGTGTAATGAACATGTAGTACTAGTATTGTAGTGAACATATCGTGCTAGTGTTCTATTGAACATGTAGTACTAGCGTAATGAGCATGTAATACAAATGTAGTTGTGAACATGTAGGACTAGTGGTGAAGTGAACATGTAGTACTAGTGTTGTAGTGAACATGTAGTACTAGTGTAATGAACATGTAATACTCGTGTAGTGAACACGTAGTACTAGTGTTATAGTGAGCATGTAGTACTAGTTCTGTAGTGTACATGTAATACCAGTGTTGTAGTCAACATATAGTACTAATGTTGTAGTGAACATGTAGTATTATTGTTTTAGTGAACATATAGAACTAGTGTTGTAGTGAACATGTAGTACTAGTGTTGTAGTGAACATATAGTACTAGTGTTGTAGTGAACATGTAGTACTAGTGTTGTAGTGAACATGTAGTACTAGTGTTGTAGTGAACATGTAGTACTAGTGATGTAATAAACATGTAATACCTGTGTTGTAGTGAAGATGTAGTACTCGTGTTGTAGTGAACATGTAATACCAATGTTGTAATGAACATGTAGTACTAGTGTTTTAGTGAGCATGTAGTACAAGTGTTGTATTGAACATGTAATACTAGTGTTGTAGTGAACATGTAATACCAGTGTTGTAGTGAACATGTAGAACTAGTGTTGTAGTGAACATGTAATACCAGTGCTGTAGTGAACACGTAGTACTAGTGTTGTAGTGAGCATGTAGTACTAGTGTTGTAGTGAATACGTAGTACCAGTGTTGTAGTGAACATGTAGGACTAGTGTTGTAGTGAATACGTAGTGCCAGTGTTGTAGTTAACAGGTAGTACTAGTGTTGTATTGAGCATGTAGTACTAGTGTTCTACTGAACATGTAGTACTAGTGTTGTAGTGAGCATGCAGTACTAGTGTTGTAGTGAACATGTGGTACTAGTGTTGTAGTGAACATGTAGTGCTAGTGTTGTAGTGAACATGTAGTACTAGTGTTGTAGTGAACATGTAATACCAGTGTTGTAGTGAACATGTAGTACTAATGTTGTGGTGAACATATAATACCAGTGTTGTAGTGAACATGTAGTACTAGTGTTGTAGTGAACATGTAGTACTAGTGTTGTAGTAAGCATGTAGGACCGGTGTTGCAGTGAACATGAAGTACTAGTGTTGTAGTGAACATGTAGTACTAGTGTTGTGGTGAACATATAATACCAGTGTTGTAGTGAACATTTAGTACTAGTGTTGTAGTGAACATGTAATACTAGTGTTGTAGTAAGCACGTAGGACCGGTGTTGCAGTGAACATGAAGTACTAGTGTTGTAGTGAACATGTAGTACTAGTGCTGTATTGAACATGTAGTACTAGTGTTGTAGTGAACATGTAGTACAAGTGTTGTAGTGAACATGTATTACTAGTGTTGTAGTGAACATGGAATACCAGTGTTGTAGTTAACATGTAGTACTAGTGTTGTAGTGAACATGGTCATAAAAGTTAAGGTTCAGTTAAAGATAATGTTGTGTTCCCTGCAGGACCCAGAGAACATGTGGGCCTACGAGGTAGACGCCAGGTCGACAGGGGACAAAAAGTCTGCCCGGGAGGAGCGTCGAGGAGACGTAGTGGTGGGCCACTACAGCGCCATGGACCCTGATGGTTCTCTCTGCGTCGTCGACTACTCTGTAGCTCCCGACACTGACTTCCAGGCCACTGTTACCAAGCAATCCACCCATGAAAACTTCCAGAGCCAAAGCCAATAGCACCAGCAAAGGCGCAACCAGTTCCAGAATCAACAGACCCGCCGCGACCAGTTCCAGAACCAACAGAACAGCCGCAACCAGTTTCAGAACCAACAGACCCGCCGCAACCAGTTGCTGAACCAACAGAGCCGCCCCGACCAGTTCCAGAAACAACAGAACCGCCCCGACCAGTTCCAGAACCAACAGAGCCACCAGGCCAGTTCCAGAACCAACTGTCTACCCGCGACCCATTCCAGAACCAACTGTCTACTCGCGACCAGTTCCAGAACCAACAAAGCCGCCCCGACCAGTTCCAGAGCCAACAGAGCCGCCCCGACCAGTTCCAGAACCAACTGTCTACTAGCGACCAGTTCCAGAACCAACAAAGCCGCCGCGACCAGTTCCAGAACCAACAAAGCCGCCCCGACCAGTTCCAGAGCCAACAGAACCGCCCCGACCAGTTCCAGAACCAACTGTCTACCCGCGACCAGTTCCAAAACCAACAAAGCCGCGGCGACCAGTTCCAGAACCAACAGAACCTCCCCCACCAGTTCCAAAACCAACTGTCTACCCGCAACCAGTTCCAGAATCAAGTGAACCGAGATCAATCTTCTCTGAATATTAGACAGTAATCACAGAGAGACAACCAGTATCAACAGAAACGCAACCAGTATCAACAAGACCGCAACCAGTATCAACACAACCGTAACCAGTACCAGCTGAATCATTACCAACAGAACAGCAACTACTACCAGGAGAACCGCAACCAGTACCAGTCCAACTATCGCACGAGTACCAACCAATACAACCACAACAACCAGTCCAACAACCTCCACAACAACAGGTACATCTCACAGAGTTACGGCTCCACCAACAACAACCACAACTACAACCAAAACTCACACCTCAACTCCAACCTTTTCAACCTGGAATACAACCAACAACTCTCCCGGTTATCCACCAACAACCACAACCAGTACGGAAGGAGCCAAGTTAGTGTGGTTCCTGCTGGAAATCACAAGTATCGACCACAACAAATGAACCACTGGCAACACTAAATGGTTGTGAGAATGTCTTTACTCTGTATAAACTGTCAATATAATACTATGGTACTGTATTTTTATGTATTTCTCGCTAAACAAAGCAGAATGTATTAATGTTTTTTATCTGATTGACGCTATTGTATGTTTCTGTTGTGTTAATGAATGATGTTAAAGTGTTGGAGAGAGTAAACACTAATATGCAGAATAGGTCAAGTGTTGGTGAAAGTAAACACTAATATACAGAGTACGTCAAGTGTTGCTGAGAGTAAACACTAATATACAGTATACGTCAAGTGTTGGTGAAAATAAACACTAATATACAGTATACGTCAAATGTTGGTGACAGTAAACACTAATATACAGTATACGTCAAATGTTGGTGAGAGTAAACACTAATATACAGTATACGTCAAGTGTTGGTGAGAGTAAACACTAATATACAGTATACGTCAAGTGTTGGTGAGAGTAAACACTAATATACAGTATAGGTCAAGGCATGGTGATATTGGGGACTAGATGGGGTGTATACTTGACTGTTTTTGTAATAGATATGATACCGGTACACATACAGGTTCACATACCGGTACACATACAGGTACACATACAGGTACACATACCGGTACACATATAGGTACACATACAGGTACACATACAGGTACACATACCGGTACACATACAGGTGCACATACATGTACACATATAGGTACACATACCGGTACACATAGAGAGACTTAGGTAACGTAGTACCGAGGTAGATTTGTGTGTGTGTGTGTGTGTGTGTGTGTGTATGTGTGTGTGATATTAGCTGGTCTTTGCTATCACAACAGTTACGGCTGGAGATGACGGAATTGAAAACATATCTTATCCCGATTCATGATAGCATGTAGATGTGTGTGTGTGTGTGTGTGTGTGTGTGTATCTTTCAACTGTACCTGTATCTATCTCTTAACTGTATCTGTCTCTCAACTATACCTGTATCTGTCTCTTAACTCTATCTGTATCTGTCTCTTAACTGTACCTGCATCTGTCTCTTAACTGTACGTGTATCTGTCTCTTAACTGTACCTGTATCTGTCTCTTAACTCTACCTGTATCTTTCTCTCAATTCTACCTGTATCTGTCTCTAAACTGAACCTGTATCTGTCTCTTAACTCTACCTGTATCTGTCTCTCAACGGTACCTGTATCTGTCTATTAACTCTACCTGCATCAGTCTCTTAACCTTACCTGTATCTGTCTTTTAACTGTACCTGTATCTGTCTCTTAACTGTGCCTGTATCTGTCTCTTAACTGTACCTGTATCTGTCTCTTAATTGTACCTGTATCTGTCTCTTAACTGTACCTGTATCTGTCTCTTAACTGTACCTGCATCTGTCTCTTAACTGTACCTGTATCTGTCTCTTAACTGTACCTGTATCTGTCTCTTAACTGTACCTGTATCTGTCTCTCAACTGTACCTGTATCTGTCTCTTAACTGTACCTGTATCTGTCTCTTAACTGTACCTGTATCTGTCTCTTAACTGTACCTGTATCTGTCTCTTAACTGTACCTGTATCTGTCTCTTAACTGTACCTGTATGTGTCTCTTAACTGTACCTGTATCTGTCTCTTAACTGTACCTGTATCTGTCTCTCAACTGTACCTGTATCTGTCTCTTAACTGTACCTGTATCTGTCTCTTAACTGTACCTGTATCTGTCTCTTAACTGTACCTGTATCACTACCCTTATGTATTACTTGTACCAATACCTATAGTTACTATATATGCTGATCTACCTATATAACCTAATTCATTTGTCCATCTATTTATATATCTATCTACTTTATTAGGATTTATATAAGGATTAACGCAAACAAACAAAAAACGACATTTTATCACATTATTTAAAAAAAAAACATACAAAATCTTCTTTTTTTTCAATAATATTCATCGGGGGAGAAGATGAGATCAGACCCCTTGAGATAAGCCGTCCCTAACCGTAGTCCTGACACTACGATGAATTTTATTACATTAGACAAAATGCTGGTCGATTGTGCCGTCCCTTCCGATCCCTCGCAAGGAGGACTCTGCGTGACAGCAGATTTCACCTTTGGGGCGACACAGCTCCTCCCTTGCGAGGGGATGTAAGGAGGACTCTGCATGACAGCAGATGTCACCTTTGGGGCGACACAGCTCTTCCCTTGGGAGGGGATGTAAGGAGGACTCTGCATGACAGCAGATGTCACCTTAGGGGCGACACAGCTTTTCCCTTGCGAGGAGATGTAAGGAGGACTCTGCATGACAGAAGATGTCACCTTAGGGGCGACACAGCTCTTCCCTTGCGAGGGGATGTAAGGAGGACTCTGCATGACAGCAGATGTCACCTTAAGGGCGACACAGCTCTTCCCTTGGGAGGGGATGTAAGGAGGACTCTGCATGACAGCAGATGTCACCTTAGGGGCGACACAGCTTTTCCCTTGCGAGGGGATGTAAGGAGGACTCTGCATGACAGCAGATGTCACTTTAGGGGCGACACAGCTTTTCCCTTGCGAGGGGATGTAAGGAGGACTCTGCATGACAGTCTTCCTTTCAGTGACAGTTGGGAAAGAAAGCTGCTGGAGGGAAGACTCTAAACGTCTAATAACTTCACAGAGATCAGGCCGATCTACTGGGTTCTGCTGTAGCATATCTAAGAATAATTGTCTGGTGCCGGGCGGCCACGCCTTTAGGTGTCGGTCACTCAATAATGTCTCAGTAACAAAATTAAGGGTGAACCCCAAAGAGAAAACATCAGCCTTGGGGTGACATGGGTGACCAGCAAGGATCTCTGGGGCATAAAAGGGAAAATCACTTGGTGATCCAGAGATATTTGTCAACTCTCCCACGGCTGTAGAAAGCCCAAAATCGATGATGTGGGCCGTGAAGCTACCATCGGCTGTGTTCTCTTCTATTAACACATTATCTTCCTTAAAATCGTTATGGACAACGCCCTGACCGTGAATTTCGTCAAGGCTTCGCGCAACGGCGATGTAGATTTGAATAATGTTGGCCGCGGTAAGCAACTTAGGGTGATTGAGTATATCAATGAACGTCCTTCCCTTGCAAAACGACATAACAAGTATGGGCTCATCCGTGGCCCACGTTATGATGAGGGGAGCACCGCCGGCACCGTTTACTTTTTGGGTTATCTCCCTTTCTATGTTGAAATACTTCAGATATTCCGTTTTCAAGCCTTTTTTTATGCACACGAGTTCCCCATTGAATTCGGCCAGGAGGCTGAACGCAAATGCCCCGCTACCCAATTTTTTCTGGATTTTTACAACGCTTAAGAGTTATTTGCTTGTATAACTTTCCATCTTGTTTTAACCAAACGTAAAATTTTATGAAGTACAATTTCAATAACTTTATCGTATAATATACATTATATATTTATATAGTAAGAGGTTATGTGAACATTTAGTACTAGTGTAATGAACATGTAATACAAGTGTAGTGAACATATAGTACTTGTGTAATGAACATGTAATACTAGTGTAGTGAACATATAGTACTTGTGTAATGAACATGTAATACTAGTGTAGTGAACATATAGTACTTGTGTAATGAACATGTAATACTAGTGTATTGAACATATACTACTTGTATAATGAGTATATAGTGCTAGTGTTGTAGTGAACATATAGTACTTGTGCAATGAACATGTAGTACTAGTGTTATAGTGAACATATAGTACTTGTGTAATGAACATGTAATACTAGTGTAGTGAACAAATAGTACTTGTGCAATGAACATGTAGTACTAGTGTTGTAGTGAAATTAGAGTACTTGTGTAATGAACATGTAGTACTAGTGTTATAGTGAACATATAGTACCTGTGTGATGAACATGTAATACTAGTGTAGTGAACATATAGTACTAGTCTAATGAACATATAGTGCTAGTTTTATAGTGAAGATATAGTACTTGTGTAATGAACATGTTGACCAGTGTTATAGTGAAGATATAGTACTTGTGTAATGAACATGTAATACTGGTGTAGTGAACATATAATACTAGTGTAATGAATATACAGTCCTAGTGTTGTAGTGAACATATAGTACTAATGTAATGCACATGTAAAACTAGTGTAGTGAACATATAGTACTAGTGTAATGAACATGTAGTACTAGTGTTGTAGTGAACATGTAGTACTAGGGTTGTAGTGAACATGTAGTACTAGTGTAATGAGCATGTAATACTAGTGTTGTAGTGAACATGTATTGCTAGTGTTGTAGTGAACATGTAGTACTAGTGTAATGAACATGTAGTACTAGTATTGTAGTGAACATATCGTGCTAGTGTTCTATTGAACATGTAGTACTAGCGTAATGAGCATGTAATACAAGTGTAGTTGTGAACATGTAGGACTAGTGGTGAAGTGAACATGTAGTACTAGTGTTGTAGTGAACATGTAGTACTAGTGTAATGAACATGTAATACTCGTGTAGTGAACACGTAGTACTAGTGTTATAGTGAGCATGTAGTACTAGTTCTGTAGTGTACATGTAATACCAGTGTTGTAGTCAACATATAGTACTAATGTTGTAGTGAACATGTAGTATTATTGTTTTAGTGAACATATAGAACTAGTGTTGTAGTGAACATGTAGTACTAGTGTTGTAGTGAACATATAGTACTAGTGTTGTAGTGAACATGTAGTACTAGTGATGTAATGAACATGTAATACCTGTGTTGTAGTGAAGATGTAGTACTAGTGTTGTAGTGAACATGTAGTACTAGTGTAATGAACATGTAAATACTAGTGTTGTATTGAACATGTAGTCCTAGTGTTGCAGTGAACATGTAGTACTAGTTCTGTAGTGTACATGTAATACCAGTGTTGTAGTCAACATATAGTACTAATGTTGTAGTGAACATGTAGTATTATTGTTTTAGTGAACATATAGAACTAGTGTTGTAGTGAACATGTAGTACTAGTGTTGTAGTGAACATATAGTACTAGTGTTGTAGTGAACATGTAGTACTAGTGTTGTAGTGAACATGTAGTACTAGTGATGTAATGAACATGCTATACCTGTGTTGTAGTGAAGCTGTAGTACTCGTGTTGTAGTGAACATGTAATACCAATGTTGTAATGAACATGTAGTACTAGTGTTTTAGTGAGCATGTAGTACAAGTGTTGTATTGAACATGTAATACTAGTGTTGTAGTGAACATGTAGTACTAGTGTTGTAGTGAACATGTAGTACTAGTGTAATGAGCATGTAATACTAGTGTTGTAGTGAACATGTATTGCTAGTGTTGTAGTGAACATGTAGTACTAGTGTAATGAACATGTAGTACTAGTATTGTAGTGAACATATCATGCTAGTGTTCTATTGAACATGTAGTACTAGCGTAATGAGCCTGTAATACAAGTGTAGTTGTGAACATGTAGTACTAGTGGTGTAGTGAACATGTAGTACTAGTGTTGTAGTGAACATGTAGTACTAGTGTAATGAACATGTAATACTCGTGTAGTGAACATGTAGTACTAGTGTTTTAGTGAGCATGTAGTACTAGTGTTGTATTGAACATGTAAATACTAGAGTTGTATTGAACATGTAGTCCTAGTGTTGTAGTGAACATGTAGTACTAGTTCTGTAGTGTGCATGTAATACCAGTATTGTAGTCAACATGTAGTACTAATGTTGTAGTGAACATGTAGTATTATTGTTTTAGTGAACATATAGAACTAGTGTTGTAGTGAACATGTAGCACTAGTGTTGTAGTGAACATGTAGTACTAGTGTTGTAGTGAACATGTAGTACTAGTGTTGTAGTAAACATGTAGTACTAGTGATGTAATAAACATGTAATACCTGTGTTGTAGTGAAGATGTAGTATTCATGTTGTAGTGAACATGTAATACCAATGTTGTAATGAACATGTAGTACTAGTGTTTTAGTGAGCATGTAGTACAAGTGTTGTATTGAACATGTAATACTAGTGTTGTAGTGAACATGTAATACCAGTGTTGTAGTGAACATGTAGAACTAGTGTTGTAGTGAACATGTAATACCAGTGCTGTAGTGAACACGTAGTACTAGTGTTGTAGTGAGCATGTAGTACTAGTGTTGTAGTGAATACGTAGTACCAGTGTTGTAGTGAACATGTAGGACTAGTGTTGTAGTGAATACATAGTGCCAGTGTTGTAGTTAACAGGTAGTACTAGTGTTGTATTGAGCATGTAGTACTAGTGTTCTACTGAACATGTAGTACTAGTGTTGTAGTGAGCATGCAGTACTAGTGTTCTAGTGAACATGTGGTACTGGTGTTGTAGTGAACATGTAGTGCTAGTGTTGTAGTGAACATGTAGTACTAGTGTTGTAGTGAACATGTAATACCAGTGTTGTAGTGAACATGTAGTACTAATGTTGTGGTGAACATATAATTCCAGTGTTGTAGTGAACATGTAGTACTAGTGTTGTACATGTAGTACTAGTGTTGTAGTAAGCATGTAGGACCGGTGTTGCAGTGAACATGAAGTACTAGTGTTGTAGTGAACATGGAGTACTAGTGCTGTGGTGAACATATAATACCAGTGTTGTAGTGAACATTTAGTACTAGTGTTGTAGTGAACATGTAGTACTAGTGTTGTAGTAAGCACGTAGGACCGGTGTTGCAGTGAACATGAAGTACTAGTGTTGTAGTGAACATGTAGTACTAGTGCTGTATTGAACATGTAGTACTAGTGTTGTAGTGAACATGTAGTACTAGTGTTGTAGTGAACATGTATTACTAGTGTTGTAGTGAACATGGAATACCAGTGTTGTAGTTAACATGTAGTACTAGTGTTGTAGTGAACATGGTCATAAAAGTTAACATTTCTTGTATAACATATCGTTAAGGTTCAGTTAAAGATAATGTTGTGTTCCCTGCAGGACCCAGAGAACATGTGGGCCTACGAGGTAGACGCCAGGTCGACAGGGGACAAAAAGTCTGCCCGGGAGGAGCGTCGAGGAGACGTAGTGGTGGGCCAGTACAGCGCCATGGACCCTGATGGTTCTCTCTGCGTCGTCGACTACTCTGTAGCTCCCGACACTGACTTCCAGGCCACTGTTACCAAGCAATCCACCCATGAAAACTTCCAGAGCCAAAGCCAATAGCACCAGCAAAGGCGCAACCAGTTCCAGAATCAACAGACCCGCCGCGACCAGTTCCAGAACCAACAGAACCGCCGCAACCAGTTGCTGAACCAACAGAGCCGCCCCGACCAGTTCCAGAAACAACAGAACCGCCCCGACCAGTTCCAGAACCAACAGAGCCACCAGGCCAGTTCCAGAACCAACTGTCTACCCGCGACCCATTCCAGAACCAACTGTCTACTCGCGACCAGTTCCAGAACCAACAAAGCCGCCCCGACCAGTTCCAGAGCCAACAGAGCCGCCCCGACCAGTTCCAGAACCAACTGTCTACTAGCGACCAGTTCCAGAACCAACAAAGCCGCCGCGACCGGTTCAGAACCAACAAAGCCGCCCGACCAGTTCAGAGCCGGAACCGCCCCGACCAGTTCCAGAACCAACTGTCTACCCGCGACCAGTTCCAAAACTAACAAAGCCGCGGCGACCAGTTCCAGAACCAACAGAACCTCCCCCACCAGTTCCAAAACCAACTGTCTATCCGCAACCAGTTCCAGAATCAAGTGAACCGAGATCAATCTTCTCTGAATATTAAACAGTAATCACAGAGAGACAACCAGTATCAACAGAAACGCAACCAGTATCAACAAGACCACAACCAGTATCAACACAACCGTAACCAGTACCAGCTGAATCATTACCAACAGAACCGCAGCTAGTACCAGGAGAACCGCAACCAGTACCAGTCCAACTATCGCACGAGTACCAACCAATACAACCACAACAACCAGTCCAACAACCT